GTGTGGGGGTGTTGATGGGATACATAAAAGGCTGGAATTGAAGGAACAAATAATATTATCAGATGGAATAAGGGCAAAGGGAAGGATAAGGGTAAGCCATGGAGAAATTTGAAAATGAACATGAGGACTTTTCTTTGGTTGTAGGACAGAAGCAAACTCAGATCTGGAATGACTATTTCAAAAACTTAATTAGCAACGTCACTTTTAATAACAGATGACAATATGTCAAGGCAACACAAGTTCAAATCAGTAAAAGGCAAAATCAAGTCCAAAATTGGCAAGTTTTCATACAATTTTCATACATGAGGAATTAAAGTCTGCTGAGAGCGGTGAGGGTGAAAATTTGTGAATCCTCGTTTTAGTTATGCTTTGCTCAAAATCACAATGAACTGGCCAAGCCCTCCAGATAACTTTTAAGTGAGGTCAACTCAATAAGAGAAGGTACAAAGTTGTACCTAGTACTGCACTACACCTGCCCCGACTGTAGGTTTGTTGTGCATAAGTGAACTAAAATTGTTAAAATCACTCGTGTACCTTGTGATCAAACCAACTCTGTCCACGTCAATTGCTCCCAAGCAGAGTGCTAATAATGATGACTTTGAGTACTATAAATACTATAAATAAATACAGAAAGCCATATTGCCATGTAATTAGCTTATGTCATGTCTGGAGCCCTGCAAAGCACAGCACAAAGTTCCAAGTTCTTGCATGAATGTGGTCTTATGTTAAAGAACACATGCAGTGCATCAGCCTGGAAGGAAATATTAAATCAGGCCCGTATTAAATCAGTATTCCGTAGATGTTCTGCATTTTAACGCAAAATGAATGGGTGGGCTGTAATCTGAGCTTTTTTTACCTGGTTTTGATAAAAATTCTAACTGTGATCCCCACTTGTGACCACTACATATTAAATAGGTTTGTTTATGCCCCCTTGGTACATGAATATCACCCTTTTGTGATGTTACTCATAAAATGATAACCACGTGAAAACATGCGCTTTTAGCATCATGAGCACCTTTCTTCTTTTCAGGCTTTAAATGACTCAATTATTTGTATTGCTAAATTATTTCTTAAGGTAGGTGAAGCATTTTGCACAAAAACAGAAAATGTTGGACCACTGGAACGGTGGATGGAGGAAGAAAAGGCTGACATTTCAGGTGTAACCCACACAGTTCAAACTTCTGTTTTTGCTCATGTCTTGACATGGATACATTCACACACCAACAAAATACAAAGCTACACCAGAAATGCTCAAACAACACAATCATTACAGCATCTTAATAGAAACTGAAGTGAGGACAAGCTCCCTCAACACAAACTAGCAAAAGCCCAGTTTCAGTTCTTACTAAATGCTTAGCATCCTAACCTTACAGGGAGGCAAGAGTATTAACCTGACTGCAATCAGGATAATAAGTGGGGAAAGTGATCAGCCTACCACTTCTCATCATTAAACACTGATGAGAAATTTACACGTAGGTATTAAATGAAGGCAAGATCATTCCAAGCCTCTGCACCTTCCCCCCTACGCCAAGTGACTGCCTTGCTGATATGAATTGGTGCATGTCTGCTGAGATATGTCAATGATAGATAATGGTAAAGTAGATCAGTTATGTGTCTGACTACTGTGATAATCAGGAGATTAGGCAAGAACTGTAACTAAAGCAACACCTCTGAAAAAGCATAAAGCCCAGCAAACTATATGCCTGCAATACTTTGGGGGAAACTGTTAATGCAACTAAATTTAGAGAGTTGTTGGTTTCTGAGTGGATCTGAATTACTTGGCCAAGTATAAAGAGTTCATTTGCTCTGAATTTTGGGCCAATGGTACTACAATTCACAACATGCTTGTGCATGTTAAAATTAGGCAGGCAGCACCTAAAATTCACGTGCTTACTTAATTACTCTGATAATAGCATAACCATAAGCAGATCCCACATAGCCTCAACTGCCTTTCCACTGATGACAGCCTCTATGAACTACAGGAGACTGAGTGGCATTGAGATGAAACTATATAGAGGCCAAGAAAGATGACATTTGGCAGTGAAGGGCACAAAACCCTCAAGATTCAGCCTCAGAAGGGAATGGGAGCAACTGGCAAGAATGGTCAATGCCCAGAGACTGGCTCCCAGAACACTGTAGCTGTGCCCAGAAAAACATCAATAACCTCATTCAGATGTTCAAGAGTGAATGCATCTGCACATCGCATCTCCTAGCCAGCAAATTACACAATTTTCACATTGCTAAATGCACCAAATCACCCTACAGCACACCCTGACACTCAGGACTCATCCCTAATGTCCACACACACAGCTTACATGTCTCTAAAAACCTACAACTATTCAGCTATGGAAGCTACATTACCCACTGCATTTACACATTGGGTCAGGTTTTGTCAAGAAGAAGGGTAGCAGGAGTTAGGAAAGTTGCTGACCCCTACTAAAACCATCCCCATTAAGGAGACCACTGCCCAACCTATTTTCCTATCGGGAAGCAGGCAGGAATGGAAGGGAGTACGACCCAACTGTCCTTGGAAGCAGATGAACGGCAAGGCCAGCAGGCTCAGGTCTGCTTCAATTGAATAGGATATTGACTCAGTTGTAATCATGATCGCTAGGCTCTCCTTCCTCGCCCCACCCTAGACCCATTGCCCAACTCCCATAATCCCATCATCCCAAGTGTGCACCTTATACCTTTCATGTTTCACATTAAAGCCCATGCTCCCCATATCTCCCATCTGACAACTATATCAATAGAAGCAAACATTTTTTTTTTGATTACTTCATTAGTCATCCTTGGTGCTTAGCCAAGCATCCACAATGTGCTGACCTCAGTAGGCAATAGTTACACAGCTTGAAAAGGAGCGTAAGTTTTGGTTAACTGACATCTCTATTACATTGCGTGAGTTATTCTCTTTCTGATGTAGCTTTTCAATATTTGTATGTTGATTTGCATAGGATTAAGAGTTCTAGAGTGATAAATGGCTTGTGAGAGAATGTTGCTGTGGATCGTGGTGGTTGACTGACAGTATTCTAAGGCCCTAACAGGGCCAATATATTTCAATAGGAAAGTTGAATTTTGTCTTTTTTGTATTTCTTCTGTCTTTGACTCAGGACCAGGTTTACTTGTGGTTCACAACTTCTGTAAGAAGCCAGAAAGTGGTCTAGTTCCATGAAAATTGTTGAGGGATTTGAAGTGTCCACTCCCCAAAGGAGTTGGCAAGTGCTGGCATGTTGTGGAGCTGGCAAGTGCTACTTGCTGTGATCGTACACTATCCTGACAGGAGTTGTCAGACTCCAGAATGGGGCAGAAATCCTGGAAATGGATTCCGTTCATCACTTTATAAATCCCTCTGGACTCTGCCCGACTTGACAAAATCCATGCCACAGTCACTAACTGTTGGAAAGGCAGCAGTCAACTTTTATACAGCAAGTTCCCACAAACAGCAAAACAAAGTGACCAAATATTTTGCTTTTATGAGGTTGATTCATAAATATTGGGCAGGCCATGAGTGACAACTCTCCTGCTTTTTTTCAAAAAACAGTTCCAAGCGCACGAGAGGGCCAAAACAGCCTTGGTTTAACATCCAATCCAAAACTGAATGCCTCTGACAGAGCAGCATCCCCTCAATACCGCACTGGAGTGTTTCCCTTGGTTTTTGTACTTGGGTTTTAGAGTGACTGAAAAGGGAAGACTGGTACCAGTTGAGCCGTGGCTGATCAGCACTTACCCACCATTTTGAAATGGGCTGCAAACAGGACGATTTGTGTACAAAATCCCCTGAAGACAACATCACAGGCAAGGTACTTCTCATTGGGGCAGCATACAAGAGCATCTTACACACCAAGGCTCTTAGTTTATCGGCAGGCCTGCCTGACAGCCTCCTGCAAATACCCAAGGAGTTCTGCTACATGGCGTGGAAGTGGTGGCCAACTCTATGACAGCACAACATGAACTCACGCTGGTGTGTCTGCAGATCGCTGTCTCAACTTCCATTTGACAAAGACTCTGTTGGGCCAGTCACATGGTCTAACAACAGGTCAACAAGATCAGAGGTCGACACAATGCTTGCAATGGGATCTCAGCCAAAGATCAGGAAATCCTTCATTACTTGCAGGCAGGCTCAGACTGCTTCTATGCAGTCTGTCTGCGGATACCCAGATAGCAGCTATTGTTGATGGGCCTGCCGTTCTCACAGCAGTTGGTGCTCCATCAGGATAGAGAGTTTGCTGAAGTAGGGCAGCAGCACCACGTAAACCTTCCATCTGCTCATAGTGTGGTAGCGGGTAGCATGGTGGTTCAGTGCTTCACAGCACCAGGTAACAGAGTTTGATTCCAGCCTTGGACGACTCTGAGTTTGCACATTCTCCATGTCTACGTCGGTTTGCTCTGGGTGCTTTAGTTTCCTCCCACAGTCTAAAGATGTACAGGTTGGGTGGATTAGCTGTGGGAAATGCAGGGTTACATGCATAAAGGTAGGGGGGGTAGGTCAAGCGGGATGCTCTTTGGAAGGTCAGTATGAACTTGATGGGCCAAATGACTTGCTTCCACACTGGAGGGATTCTAATGACGACATCAGAATGCCTTCAAGTCACTAGCACCATTTTGTCCCTATTTCCCTTGTGAACTGTTGCCTCCTTAGATACCAGTCCTGATTCATTGCTGTGTAGGGATGGTGTGGCAGGGTGACCCTTCGTGGGTAGGGCCCTCTTCCACTTTGCCTCCTCCACTGCATGGCCTTCAGTGCAGCAATTTCAGATGCATGCAGAGCAGGGGTCAAGTTGTGTTACACCAGCAAGCAGGTCAGAAGCAAACAAGGGCCTCCCTGATATGTCAAATCATAACATATGCCTTCAGTACAGCTCTGAAGACTGGTAATCTAAAGAAATGTTGTACACAATATATTTATGACAAATAATTGACTAAATATTCAACTACAGCCTATTTGCGGAGTTAGAAAATCATCGATTTTACCTTGAAAACACTATCGAGTACGATATTACCTTCAGAAGCACATTACAGGCAGTATTCAACGGGATTTCTGTTTAAAAATACTTTCTTGGACCTTTCCTTTAAGAAAATATAACGGACTGCCTGTTCTAAACAGAGGAAGTGAGGTTAAATAGGATCAGGGCAAAACAGCGTACGGAATGTGTTTGTATCAGCCTGCTTCCCGAAACTCCGTCCTTCGCTATTGTGCGAACCAATTCCCGATTGCGTTTTATTCCCGTGATTCCAAGTTTGTGTAACTTTTTCAAGCACTTTCACCCCCCCCAAAAAAAAGGTATGGCCCCAGTTCATTAACTGGTCCGAAGCAGGAAAGCGCCTGAGTGGCCCTGCGAGAGATTCTGAAGAAAATGCTCGGTCATCACGACAGAGTGCGATGCAGGCCGTCTCCAGCTTGTCCTCACGCGACCCAGGATTATAAAACATGCAGCCAGTCAGACTGACTGGATTATCACGACATTGATTGGACAAATGATTAAATAATTCCAATCGTGTTTTTAAATCGTTGCCTGTTTGACTGGAGTTTGAAATAATAGCAGAAACTAAATATTCGGTGACATTACGTCAAATGCATCCAAGGATTCCTTCAGGATGTGAGCTATTATTTGTAAGTTATCTTGTGTTCTATCGAATTAGCGTAGATCCCATGGTCAGACGTGGTCATGTTTTTAAACTCTGAAGACACGAAACCGCTGTGGCTTCCGATTCAGATTCACATTTTTAAAAAAAACTTAAACCGCATTTCGGAGGGGCTCTGAACCCAGCTGGTGTAGGACTGAAAATGGACCCTCCCCTAGTCACACCCAGTTAAATATTGCAGGTTCAGATCCCGGACATGGATCTGTTAGTACCCAGTTGTAATAACAAATTCATTTATAGAGCGAAAAGAAAACACAATTTGCACTTAAAAACCACATCCTTTATGACCCAAGACTAACCCAAAAGCGTTTTACAACCCATGAAATCACTACAGGTGTCAGTCGTGGCTCAATACAGCAACATCCGCAGTTCTTTCAGTTTGTTTTTGTTTTACTCAGCAGAGCACAATTTCAGCTGGGCGGGAGGATGTGGCGGGAATGGGGTTGGGGGTGGAGACTACAAGGATGGGGGAGGTGTAGATAAGAACGACAGATTAAGGGGTGAGATCAAGGGAAGTAGGATAAAATGGAGGTGGAGGCAATTGCAGATGGAAGTAAAGAGGAAGGAAAAATGTGGGGGTGGGATCGAGGAAGATGGGATTGGTGTTGTACTGCAAGGAGAGGGGAATGGAAGTGGAGTAAAGGCAGACTGAGGGTGGGGAGAATGGAAGTAATAAATTTGGAAAGGGTGAGAGGGAATGGAGATGTAGGGAGGGGAAATGGGCTGGAGAGAGGGAATGAATATGGTGGGGGAAAATTCTGGTGGTTGGGGCTATGGTTTGCGGTGGTGGTTGGTTAGGTATAATGGGAGTTGGGTTTGATGGGTGGGTTATAGTGGAATGATGGGAGTCAGCAGCGATGGGCATTAGGTAGTGGCGGTATTGTACAAATTTCTAAATAAATAGTCTGGTCATTACCTCTGTTTATGGAAGCTTCCTCTGTTACAGTTGCCTGTCATATTTCTTATGTTACAACAAAGACTCCACTCAAAATGTGAAGTTGACAGTAAAGTGCTTTGGGATGTTCTGGGGTGGTTAAAGGGGATATGTAAAGAAAAGTCTTTCTTTTATAGTGTAGTTATTGTTGGAATGAAGGGAAAACAGTTTTAATTGAATCAGAGATAGTAGGAACTGCAGATGCTGGAGAATCCGAGACAAGAAGGTTCAGGGCTGGATGAACACAGCAGGCCAAGCAGCATCATAGGAGCAGAGAGGCTTCAAGTTGCTTTGTGGCCTAGTTTCAATTATACAAGGGTGAAAGTGTGAACACTCAGTGCCTGAAGCACCATGCATGATGGTGATATCATGAGGATGTGGTGGGAGTACAGCTTGGTACATCGAAGAAGTTTCTGTAACAATGTGTATCATATCAGTGTAATTGCTTCTCAGTTGCTAATGTGCAATAAACTACATCTTGTTTAAGACATGAACATCTCATTAGACGAGCAATGGTTTTCCTCTACCACACCAAACCAACTTGGCCCTGTAGATCCCTGCCCTAAAAGAGGATGACGATAACAAATCTAGCCCATGGTAAGAAGCAATGCGGACAGATCATACAACAATGAACAAGGTGGTCAGTGATGAGGATTGCTCTACTCAACAAGGCAAGATCAATGATAAAAGTATTTCAGATCCAGTAAGAGATTCACTGCGGCAGGAGATGTGGGAATTCCATGGAGCTGTATTTTAATCACTCAAAGACAGTTACAGATTGCATTTAGTACCAAAGATTTGTAGGAATGGTCTTAAGTTATAGTTCAGCTGAAGAGGAAGTGCACATTGGAGGCTCCCTCAGTAAACTTAAAATCAGTGTTGGGCAAGGGAAACCTTTAAAAGAAGATGGTGTAGAGTTATAGGCTGCGAGAGCTAGAAGTAAAGAAAAATTCTTTAGGCTCAGATCAAGTTGCCTGCGCAGTGAATGGATAACATGAGGTACAGCTACAGTAAGAAAAATCAAGGGCCACAGAAGCAATTCAAAACGAAGCCACAATCCCAAGGACGTCACAAAGTCAGAATTAAAGCATAATTGAAGCCTTAGCAGTCAAGGTTTAATGGAATAAAAAGGTAGGAGACTTTCTTAAGACCACACATTATAATAGGCACCACCAGGAAAGATGTTTGACATATTTGGGCCAAAGACGACCGATGTGGATCAGGCACTGAGCAGGAGAAGTATGATTATTCAAGAAACTGTAGTCTAGTTACGTTGATTAGCTATATTCTTTATACAGCAATTTTAAAAGGAACTGCAGAAACTTCAACCCATTGTTGATAACTTGTCCAAATATCTGAAATTGTTATTGCTGAGGGATTCCTTAATCGCCACTGGCTATGATGACCTATGTGGAGAACAGCTTAAAACATTGATGGACCTGCCAGCCCAGGCTTCTTCAAAGTCTCTGTTATAATGTCTATCATACACATGTAAGTTGTAGTTTGTTCAATATTAGCAACTAAATACATCTTGTTTAAGTCAAGAGCATCCTCCTATTAGAAAAGGAAATGGTTTTCCTTTACCACACCAGACAAAGAAGGCCCTGTAGAATCCTACTTAAAGTAGGACAGTGGCAGCAAATCGTGGTCAACAAAAGTGCAGACTGCCTCATGCAACAAGTTGGTGAGCAGTGAGAATTGTTCATATAACAGTTTCTACACTTGCTACACCCCAACCACAACTACTCAGACCATGAATTCCATACTGCAAACATCTCCCAGCCTGGCCAACACTTTCTCAACACCAGATTTTTCATGAAAACCTTTATCAGGCTGCATCGCTCCTCACCTTCAAAGTCAAAATCATTCATAAACTATGGCTCAAAATTACCTGTCAAAATATCATTAATAGTCTTCACCATTATCATAGAATCCCTACAGTGTGGAAACAGGCCCTTTGGCCCAACAAGTCCACACCAAACCTCCGAGCATCCCATCCAGACCTATCTCTATAACCCACCTAATCTACACATCCCTGAACACTATGGGTAATTTAGCATAGCCAATCCACCTAACCTGCACGTCCTTGGACTGTGGGAGGAAACTGAAGCACCCAGAGGAAACCCTCGTAGACACGGGGAGAATGTGCAATCATTTTCTGAAGAAGGGTCCTGACCCGAAACATCAGCTTTCCTGCTCCTCTGATGCTGCTTGGCCTGCTGTGTTCCTCCAGCCCCACACTAAAGGGCACCAGACTGTTTTGGTTCACAAATTTACCCTTCCCAAGCCTGTTCTCACTTACCCTTACTTTTAATTAGTTCCTAAAGACACTACGATGTTAATTAATGGGTTCCCTATTCCATGATCCCTGTCCCTACAGCACGTTGCAAGTTGCAGACTGTTGTATAGGTCTTGGGATTTCGAGATCGCCTCCAGGATTGCTGTATTCAATTTATGCCTGAACCCCATCCTGACCCTGCTAAAATTTGAGAATCCCTGTCCAATATTTCAATATTGATCTGTAATGTTGTCTCTGGTTTCCTTCCACAGATGCTGTCTATGTTGCAAATGTTGTTTATTTCAAATTTTCAGCATCTGTAATAATTATGCTTTTGCATATTTATAAAGCTTAAATTAACATTCAGTGGTTTTTCAGAGCAACTTGTTAATTACTACCATTGAACCAACCTGGCAGCAAAAATTAATTGCAATTAAATGTGTAGAAATTCATTCCTTCAGGTTTTAATTGATGTGGATATTTCAAAAGACTTGAAATTTAAAACATTTAAAAAGCTATTCTTTTGTGTTTTTTCCCCCTCATTTAATTCAATTAATCTTACTCTCTTATTAATTCTGTACCTGATTTGACACTAACTTACACTTCCTCTTCAGTCTTCCATTCTTCATTCTGTAATCCTTCAGTCTGATTAGTTAAGGAGATAAAGAGCTGTGTGCCCTTTTCACTTAGGTTCCAGATGCCCAAGTTGCCTCACTGTGGCAATATCAGCTCACACTTCCAGCAAGTACAAAAATGCATTGACATTAAACAGGCAAGAGCAAGTTTAATTCATGGCAGATGCAATACATTCATTCCTACAAGCAAGAATGATCCATTGAGACAGAAATTGTCTAACCTTGAAAATAAGCATGAAGAATATGACAATTAATCCCCACTCGTTCATTGCATCGCATGTACCATGTTAAATTAATGAATCATTCTCTCTTCAAAGATTGTTACATGCAGTCACATTTGTCACACTGTTCGCTGACTCCATATATGTCAGGGGGCCCAATAATGCAAGGGACTACTGCTCCTTAAAAGATAGCCAGCAGCTCTCAAAGTAGGTGCACAATATGGTTGCAAGGAATTTTTCCAGAGGTAATCCTAGGCTAAGACTTTGATCAATAAATATGTGAGGAGAATGTGCATCAAGCTTTCCTGACAATGTACTGATGTCTTGGTGGAACAAATGGAATGAAAGTGAGACAATCTGTTAACCAGGAGAGCAGGAGGACTTCCAGACACATTCTTAGTAGAGAATGGGAACAGATAACAGCAGTGCTCACTGAAGAGTGCTGCTATAAGAATATGGATGCAGTGCAGGAAGAAGTTCAATGATCTGACACTAGAACAGTGAGTGCATCTTCAAATGACAGAGCCTATCAATTACATGACGAGCCTCATCCACCACTCAATTCACCACACAACTCATCACTTACCAATTTCTATCAGTTCTAAATTCTGCATTCATATGCTTTGCGTCACCCACATATACTTATCACTGATTCAAGCCTTCCGCTAACAACTCATAATTTGCACATATTGGCTGCTATTCAAAAATGATATGCAAAAGAACATAAACACATTGAAGAACACTGACATTTCACTTTCTTTCAGGAGGAAGTAATGCATAGCAGCAAGCACAGAAAAGAACTGAAGGAGACATATGCATGCATCTTTTAACCCAATGCTGG